TCCTCCTCCTCCTCCTCCTCCTCCTCCTCCTCCTCCTCCTCCTCCTCCTCCTCCTCTTCTTCTTCTTCTTCTTCTTCTTCTTCTTCTTCTTCTTCTAAATAGCCACCATATCTGCTGTTCTTTTTAAAAGGCAACATTTTAAGTGAAATGGAAAATCCTATATTTGATGCTTTCAAATTATTTTCATGGATATGATATATACTCAATATGTTGTATAAGTTGCCTGAAAATTGTAAAACTAGATACTTGTTTATCTTCTGGGATAGATAGGAAGACATAAGTAGCCAAGATACATGCTACAGGTGAAAAGGTTTTGCAGGAATATATATGATGTAGTCCTGGACTTCTGGTAAGAGAGAGAGAGAGAGAGAGAGAGAGAGAGAGAGAGAGAGAGAGAGAGAGAGAGAGAGAGGATTTAATGGAGGATAGATGGAATAGAAATATTTTTCTCATTCTACCTTTGGGTGTGTGTGTGTGTATGTGTTTGTGTGTGCGTGTGTGTGTCCACATGTGCCATGGTGCATGTATGGAGAATCAGAGGAGAACTTTTGGAGTCAGCCGTCTCCCTCCACCATGTTGGACCCAAGGATTGAATTCAGGCTGTCAGGTTTGCTGACAGAAATGACTACCCACTGACCCATCTCATTCGTCCTCTTTCGTGTTTTCAATAGAAAACTGTTATATTTATTATGGCAGGTGAGAGGGCTCTGTGGATAAAGGTGCTTGCTGCCAAGCCTGACTATCTGAGTAAGAGCCTTGGAACCCAAATAGTGGGTGGGAAGGAGGGCTCCTGCCAGTTGCCCTTTGACCTCAACATGAGTGCTCTGACCCGGACACTCCCCACTAACTAAATAAAAAATAAGTGAGTTTAAAAGTAAGTGTGTTTGGCTGGGGAGATGACTCAGCCATTAAAGGCTAGGCTCAGAATGGAAAACATAAAAAATAAGTATGTTATAAAAACAGCAATATAATATCCAAAGTCTGTAGAAAGAAAATTCACTTGAATTGGCTTCTACTCTGTTCCTAAATCCTAGAGCAACTAGGTAGAAATGTAGTCTTCCTCCATAATTTATTGTCTTTTAAGACTATTTGTTTAGTGTGTGTTTGTGTGTGTGTGTGTATGTGTGTGTGTGTGTGCTAAAATATATGTGTGGAAGTCAGAAGACAACCTTTTGGGAGATGGATCTCTCCTTCCACCCTATTGAGGCAGAATCTCTCTTTCCTTTCCCTACTCCCTCCCTCCCTCCCTCCCTCCTTCCCTCTCTCCCTCCCTCTCTCCCTCCCTCCCTCCCTCCCTCCCTCCTTCCCTCCCTTACTTTGTTTGTGTTTTGAGACAGCATTTCTCTATGTAGTCCTGGCTGTCTGAGAACCCTGTAGACCAGGCAAACCTCAAACTCAAAGATCCACTTGTCTCAGCCTCTCGAATGCTGAGATTAACTTTTGTTTTTTAAAAGATTAATGTATTTATTGTGTGTGGTGTGTTGGGATGTGTGTGTTCTGACACACACATAGAAGACAGAGGACAACTTGCTCGAGTCAGTTTGTTTCTTCTATGATGTGGGTTCTGGGGCTCAACTCAGGCATGCGTGGTAAACGCTTCAACCCACAGAGCTTTTCTCGGTCTCTCTAAATGAATTCCCCTTTCGGAATTAGATTTAAGTTCCCTTGTTAAGAGAAGCTAATCTGTAGCATCATTGAAGAATTGGTCAGGAGACAAAGTTCAGGAGGCTATCTGCCTTTATTACATACATGAAATATAAAAACACAAAGTCACAAAGCAATATATATATATTTCTTTTGTGAGTCCACAGGACCTCAGGGAAAAAATATGCTCCACATATGAATCTAAGGTGTCGGCACTGTGGTTCCTGGTTTGTAAGTTCAAGTACAGTAGAAACTGTCTGCAGCCAGGCTATGCCTGGATCAAGAAGATGGGAGACAATGAAAAGAATCAAGCTGGCGAACTATCACACACGTCAGGTTAGGAGACAGGTACGTGTACTGTTATTACAAGAAGGAAGAAAACTGGTCCAATAGTCATGTTTAAATACTAAACGAAAAATAGAACAAATTCTGTGTTTACAATAATTTTCGCAGTGTGTACAAGTGCCTCACAAATAAATGAGCTTTTTGACATTTAAAGTCTACTTCCCTCTCTATGCAAACATATTTCTACCTTTATGCTTTTTTTCTTTTAAAGTCTCTCTCTCTCTCTCTCTCTCTCTCTCTCTCTCTCTCTCGTTTCATTATGGCTAGTATCTCACAGTCTAAACTCTCACCCCAAATCCGAGACTTCACACAAACATCCTCCTTTTAGGCTGCATGCTGACAGTGTTTCTCCCAGAATCTGGAGCTAACCGCATAGCTTCCTGGATCCATGGTTCCTCTCCATCCACAGCGGCGGTGCTTCTGTTTCAGTAGGGTCTTCAGGCGGCCTTTCTCTTCTTTGCCTGACAGTAGCATTCTCCAGACGTTCACAAGCGGTAGGTAAAGTGCTTTACACAAGGAAATACTATATATACACGGAAAAGTTCCATTCACATCCCGCACATAGCACACAAGGCAAGGCTCTTTTTAAGAAATGCCTTTCCTGCAAGTAGAGTTGGAGGGTGGGGGTGGGGTGTGTGTGTGTGTTTCCCTAAAAATCTCATTAATTCCTTAAATAGCATCAAACACGTATCTGAAGCTGGAAGGAGACCTTGTTGGGGATTTGGCCCTTAATGGATGATGGCGATGTCGCTATTAAAATATTCTCAGTAACTATGACTTTCAGAACCAATTTCTCTTAAAGCAGGTATCAGCCTGGGGTTTTCATTTCTCTTTATGAAACAAGACTGTTTTCAAACACAGATCCAGAATGGTTAGGTTAGACAAGGCCTATGCAATTGAAACCCCCCCCCCCCCACATTTTGGCACTTAAAAAAATTCCAGTTTTATTCTGAGGTCTCTTTTTCATTAGACTTGTGTATCTGCTACCCAGAGAAGAGCCCTTGTGTGCTTAAGACCTTCAGTGTTACATGCAGTCTCTTTTTAAGATGTGCATGACTCTTCTGCCAAGAGCCGGTTTCCAGTGCTGGACAAAGCTTTTCATATTCAC